TATGTATATATATATATATATATATATATATATATATATATATATATATATATATATATATATATATATGGTATACCTAGTCTGATATCCTTCGTTTCGAAAAAAATATATTAAGCTTGTTGGCAATTTATCCTCTTGCCGTATATTTCGTTTAAAAAGAAAACGGATTTTTGTTACATATTATAAATTTTTGCCGATATGTCTTTAACTTTAATAAAAAGGACTCCTTTCCTATTTTATGCATAAGGAAAAATCTAGTTTAATATTTTACTTCAAGAAAAATTAATACATTTAAATATTTTTGCAAAATTTTATCACATTTTTGTGCATTTAAAGGAAAACATGACAACATCTTTGAAAAACTTCCTTCCAGAAAATCCAAGTCTTTTAAAACTTTGTTTATATATACTTTTCTTTCTATTCTGTAAACTGTTTACAGTTTCAAATGATGTAATAAATGAATATGGATTTTCACACCTGTTGAAATACTATCTTGGAATTTGGTTCTAATTCGTTAAAAGAAGTTACTTTTTTTAATAGAAAATGAATCAGCATAAATATTTACATAAAAATAATTTTAAAATAAGTTTCTTGTTTATTTATTCGTAATGACTATAGAGGATTAATTATTGAGAAAACAACGATTCGACTTAAAATAAATCAATTGCATTAATATTATAACTGTCTCAATATGGCGTTAAATGCTAAGGAAAAGTTGTTAACATTCTTTGAGATTTTGTAATCACAAAAAATAATGGGTATAGTTTACACAATTTTGATTCTGAAACAAATATTAATGTTTACAAAAAGAGTACGAATTTTCTTTCATTATATAGAGGCAATAACGAGAAGATAAATAAAAAGTATTATTGCGGTAATGCAGATTGTAGTTTAGGGAATGACATCGCGATTATAAATTATTTTATGAATACAAATTTTCGTGGTAAATGCCAGGAAGAATCCATTTGAAAAAAATTGTATGAGGGAAGAGTCTAATAAGGAATTATTAAACTGCGATGAGAAGGAATAAAATAATTCTATGATGAATATTTGAATTTATGACAGGAATTATAAAAACGATAAATATCAAAGGAAAAAATATTCAAAATGTAAAAACTTTAAAAAATTCTTTCAATTATTCAACAAATACACAGACACAAACACACATACGCGCGCACACAAAAAAGGCATGCATACTATCTAATATACAGTACCAATTACATATATATGTACATAGATATAGTTAAACATGAATGTGTGTGTGTAAATTATATGTTTACACACACACACACACACACATATATATATATATATATATATATATATATATATATATATATATATATATATATATATAACGACTTGATGGATTCTATTTATCAATCAGGCTGGTATATTTTAATCACTTCAAACATTATTTTTAGCCGATACACACATTCGCTACGCAAGCGTGTGTATCCTCTAAAAATAAAGATCACAGTGATTATATATATATATATATATATATATATATATATATTATATTATATTATATTATATTATATTATATTATATTGTAATGTATTGTATTGTATTATATTATATAAATTGTGCAAAATTCAAGTAACTTATCAATCAAACTTGATAATTATTAAACGTTAGTTTTCTATTGACTCCAGAGTGAGTGAATGGATCAAATAATTTTTTTCCTAATTTTCGTAGTGTAGGCAATAATGATCGTTGTATTCTCGATAACCCCTCCCAAATGGTACAAAGGTCCAACATGCAATTCCCACATTAAGAATATATATATATATATATATATATATATATATATATATATATATATATATATATATATATATATATATATATATACAGAGTGTGTGTGTGTGAGAGAGAGAGAGAAAGATATGAATTTATATATTATATATATATAAATATATAAACATTTGGGTTGCTACTACACAAAACAGATGATGGTTAAACATGAAAATATAAGGGAAATTAATTCCTTTTAATAATATGCGGAAATATCCACTCTTTGACTGATGAAGGTCGCAATACCGGTAAAACGTGTAGCAAAAATATGGAAAATATAGTATAATATATATTTAAAAAAGTCCACATTATAACCAAAAACGTTTGCGGTTTCACTCTTTTTTTATCTAAGTATACACATTTCTCTTGTTGAAACAACTATAGTGAAACCTATTCCATATATACATACATACATACATACATACATACATACATACATACATATATATATATACATATATATATATATATATATATATATATATATATATATATATATATATATATATTAGCATTACTGAGGGTGAATACGTTTGAGGGTCCTGATTAGTCACTTACATTTTTTTTTTTACTCTAATATTTTCGGTATCATTGTCATGTCGAATTGCACGTCTGATAGCTTTAAATTATTATTATTATTATTGTTGTTGTTGTTGTTATTATTATTATGATTATTATTATTATATTATTGTGTTGTTGTTGGTGATGGTGTATGTTAATTTACACTTTTTATTCATGTTCTTGACATCTGTTGCTTGGGCTGATGGGATTGAATTAATCTTTAATTATATTCTTTGTGACTATTATTTGTTGAAGACAGTCAAAAACAATATTTTCTTTTTTGTTCTTCCGTTGCAACCATCTTTCACAATCTCTGTTCATGTTAACGTTCAGTTATTTCTATTGATTTTATTGATGCCAAATTTATGATTGATTCAATCTTATTGTGAACCTTCAAAATTCACAAATAATTAACGAAAAGGTTAATTGTGATTTCCACATTCAAAATTATTTATTACATTTATTATTATTATTATTGTTGTTGTTGCACAATTATTTTATTTCATGTATGCATGACTGATTTCAATGAGTAGTTTAGTTTGAAGATAAATTTTTGATTATTGAGTAGAACAATGTTCTGCAATTCAACAATTATACAGCAAAATTGTTCACAGTTGTAAAGCGCATTGTAATTCTTGCTGAGGGAGACATACACGTGTGTCATTATCAAGTTGTATGATATTAAAAATATTAATTTATGTAAATTATAATTAATTTTATTGCTAATATTGTTTTGTCATCTTATTAAATATTTTGATTAAATTTGATGCGAAAAATTTCGAAACAGAAATGCCTAAGCGAATGTTTTAAAAGGCGTGTTAAAATTTTATAGATCAATAAGGATTTCGTAATGGAAACAGTTTGTACGAAACAACGTGGCGTTGTGTTTCTCTACGATATACGAAGATGTGGCTTCCAATAAAAGTCTATATATAAATTGTTTGACAATGTTTTAATGTGATTTCAGTGAGGATACGTATATATATATATATATATATATATATATATATATATATATATGTATGTGTGTGTGTGTGTGTGTTTAATGTGTACAGGATATGCTGTTCTATGAACGTGTCATTACGTGTAGGAATTACAGTTGTAATGCAAAATTATCTATAATTGTGTGATTAATCATTGAGTGGGAGTCACGAACGAAAAAGAGATCATCCAAAGATTACGCATATTCGAACGGGCAAAATAATTATAAACACGCGGGAAAATCAATGCACGAACAAACATTTAGCACCAGAATAAATATATATATATATATGAATATATGTATGTATACATATTTATATGAAAACATATATATATATTGATCTGTGTGTGTGTCTGACTGTGTGTATATTTGAGTGCGAGTGCATGTGATTTGTTTATATATATATATATGTATATATATATATATGCATATGAATGTATATATGTGTATATGTATATATATATATATACATACATACATACATACATATATATATATATATATATATATATATATATATATATATATATAGGTCAGATGACGTTTTCAAGTTTAATCGGCCGATGAGATGCGTTGATATGACTGCAGTTATGTAGTGATTTTGACATGCTTTTCGATGTAATATCGTAAAATAAAATATATATGAGTGTGTAATATATATATATATATATATATATATATATATATGACACATGTCTTTTACATATATGTGTGTGTATATATATATATATATATATATATATATATATATATATATATATATATATATATATATGTATATATATATATATATATATATGTAAAGACATGTGTCATGTACACAAGTTTTGGTCTACTTATTTTCATAGGATTCTCGCATAATTACGGAGAAATTTCTTATTACCCTTATTAAAGGATGAAAGGAAATTATCATGTTGATTCATATTCATTTTATACCGAGTATTTTGGACATTATAACAATGCAGTCATCATTGTCTTGAATATATATATGTACATATATATATATATATATATATATATATATATATATATATATATATATATATATATATATATATATATATATATATATATATATATATATATATATGTACATTTATATATATATATATATGTATATGCATATATATATGTATGTACATACATCAATATATATATATGTATATATATAGACACGTATATGTATACACACGTATGTATATATATATGTATATACGTATATATACACACGTATATATGTATATATATACACATGTATATATGTCTGTCTATATATGCATGTATATATCTACATAATATTGTTATTAGTAGTAGTAGTATAAATGTTATATTTGCTTGGTGTACATACTTAAATATACTTCCCTGTGTTTTTTTCAACGTTGAAATTAATATCTATCAGCGTGGAATGATTATTTAAATTGGAAAAAAATAATCAATACGATAACTCTGAATTTTAATGAAAACCTTGTGCGATATGAAAAATATAAGATTAATGTATAGTCTCATACACACACACATTATATATATATATATATATATATATATATATATATATATATTAATAAGTACAGACTTAATTCACGCATATATGGCATTATAGCTGTCACGTTGCCTGAATAGACATATTTTCACTTATGCACCCATAAACATGTGGTACACACGTGTGTGTGTATATATATAGATAGATAGATAGATAGATAGATAGATAGATAGATAGATAGATAGATAGATGTATCTGCCTGTAATTATATACGTTATATATATAGTCATATATACATATTTATTATATTCTGATATATATATATACATACTTTGTGGCCTATGAGTGGAAACACTCGGGTCTCCCACGTTAATCGACCTTGTGTCATATCTTGATTTAGTGGGAATCAAGTAAATACCTATATATACATACTTATATAGGTATATGTATGTGCTTGTGTGAAAAAAGAAAGACAGAAAGAAAGATAGAAAGAAAGAAAGAAAAAAGTAAGAAAAAGACAAATATGTAGAATCAGCGTACCTTCCAATTTCTTAATTTCTGTACGTACCGGTTTTTTTTCTTGAGATTTTTATCTGTAAAAATAAAAAGAAAGCGTAACTTAGTATTTTACCATGATTGTTATTATTACTATTAATACTACTACTATTACTACTACTAATAATAATAATAGTTATATTATTAATTATAGTAGCACTAGGGAGATATCGATACATATATATATATATATATATATATATATATATATATATATATATATATATATATATATACATATATATATATATATACTGTCTACTTATCAGAGTAGCCAATAAACTCGATTTCCCTTTGTATATGTCCCTATTATCACTATCTGTTAATGTTTATCTCAGTTTTCCTTTTACATCATAAAATATTTACAAATATAACTCCAGGATTTCTCGCCGTTTTTTACCGAACCCGACTCGCAGGCCCTTACTATGAACATCAGTTCTATCTTTACACATAGCATATAATTGCAGTCTTCTTCCATATTAAAGCAAACTCTGTTAATATCTAAACTACAAATATATATATATATATATGTGTGTGTGCGTGTGTGTCTGTATATATATATATATATATATATATATATATATATATATATAAGAAGATATGAATGAAGATATGAGATATAAATAAATATGAATCTAATTCCACGTGTTTCTCAAATATTGACATCTTCATCTCTTGTCTTATATTTTCTGGATATTTCTAAAAATTACTCTGCTAAGCGGGATACCAAAGTAAGTGATGAAATATCATATTATAGTACAAAAATTATTAAAAACGATACAACATCCGATGGTGACATTTTACCACGTGTTTCCCGCTTGATATTTCCCACATCACTCGAAATCAATCCCTCAATAAATTGATCAATTAGGTTAATATTAAATTTTTTCTTAGTTTCATTGTTCCCGCATTCAGATAAGACTTTGTACACACACACAAACACCCCACACACACGCACACACACACACACACACACACATATATATATATATATATATATATATATATATATATATATATATATATATATATATATACGTGAGAACACTCGCATGTGTGGTGTTAGATATTCATAAAAGCGGAAGCAAACTCAGCGAAACATTCTCTTTCATTTTGCTTATGATTATTTTTCTAAAAGTGAACCCAATTTGTTATGCACGTTAACGCAGCTCTTTATATCTAGACAAAATATACAGCTCATTACTGGCATGTCACCTTAATAGGCGAAGAGTCGAATCGATTTAGTGGCGAGCCTAGAACTTTCTTGCTGTATAGAAAAAATTAATATCCAAAAATGGTTTCCATCATCTGTAAATTTGATAAAATTACTTTTATTGGGTTTTAAGATTAGAACCTCTGTTCGGTCTCACATAAACATATACGTATTTTAAACAATGGGTTTAAATATCTGTTTGCTGTCTATGAGGACAGATATTTGCGGACATATTTGTCTATCATTCCGACTGAGATAGATTTATGCGTCTGTCCTGGAGGTACGTGGTATAATTAAATAAAATTCTATCGATGTTTTACTAATCCGTATTCCCATCCGTACAATTGAAGAGACATGCGCCCTAGGAATTCTTTTGTATTTGTTTTAATGAAAATACACACACACACACACATATATATATATATATATATATATATATATATATATATATAATGGGAAATTAAGCCCAAAGATCGGAGAATATGCAGTAAAATGATCTAGTAAGATTTTTATGGGAATAACAACGCGTTTCTCTGAGGACATATTTATGTCAACTTATGCATGTGTGTGTTCGTGTGTGTGCGTGCGCGTGACTTTGTGTGGACACAAAATACATGTCAGTATCGACAAAAAGTGTTTTAATATTATTTGACTGTCTAAATACACAGAATGTACATATATAAATTTCGATTAAATTTAACCTATAATCTTCTCTGTATAATACTCGTTCTATAAGATTAATAATCTCCATCGAATTCAGGGCACTGACAAATAATAAGAAACTGAAAGTAAACATTCATCTTATAAAATACTTATTTTCTTCATTAATATATATATATATATATATATATATATATATATATATATATATATATATATATATATATATATATATATATATATATATATATATATGTATGTTTATGCGCAAAGTTTTGACTCAAACAGGTTTTGTTAAATTCAACCAACAATGTATAATCTCTATTCCATTTTTTCGATGATGAAAACGAATTGAAATAAATTATGAATTCAAAGTTAAAATTTTATCTCTAATCTTGATTATACCATAAAATATCTTACTCTGAAATTGGAAGTATATAATAATTATTAGTTCAACAGAGCAAACATGTATATATATATATATATATATATATATATATATATATATATATATATATATATATATATATATTCACATCTAGTGAGTGAGAGACAGAAACAAAGACAGTCAGATGGACAGACACTCAGACAGACAAGAAGATAGATAGATCGATGTATATACCTACATGCATACCTACATACATATATATATATATATATATATATATATATATATATATATATATATATATATATATATATATATACAAAAATATAAGATCTCTTTAAATGATATGTTAAACGTATAGTGAGATATATAGTTTCGTTGCATTGTAATGTCTTTTTTCTAATCTTTACCATTGTAATTGTGCATATGTGTGTATCTTTTTATGTCTACGTAATACATTTGTATATAATTATATATTTTTCGCATTTGTGTTATATTATACGTATGCTTCTACTCTTTACGTCATATTCCTCTCTTTTTCTATTCAAATTGGCTTATATATTTGTCTGTCTCCCACAGTGATTTTTTTCAATATTTCTCTCCTGATTTGTCCCCCATTGATGTACATAGAATTAAAAGAAACATATATATATATATATATATATATATATATATATATATATATATATATATATATATATGTGTGTGTGTGTGTGTGTGTGTGTGTGTGTGTGTGTGCTTGTATGATAAAAAACCACAAAAGCGGATGTCCTCCTTTATTCCTGTTCTTCAATTCTTCTGTCGTTGATTTGTTTCATCTGCTTTACAGGAACACCCGGAAAGTGGCCATCTTCCTTTTTAGCCCTTAAAAAAGAATAAATAAATAAATACGATTGGCTACTGACTGTGCTGCCCTCTATACACATTTACTGATACTAGACGCCTCACTAGGAGGAGACAATAACGTGCGCAATCTTTAGGTTACAGTTGTTTCTGGATTTTTTTCTTAATCTTGTATCATGTAAAAGGATAATCTTCCGTTACAAAGAGAATATTTAAATAGATTAATGATTATTTTCGCTCAATTACTCAGAATAGTCTACAGACATTTACTTTCCCCTTTTATGTTTTTTACTGAATTAAATATGTCCGTGCGTCTGTTTTCGAATGAATAACATATATTGTAGATTCAAACATCAAACTGATTGTTTTCGTCTTGTGTCTATACTTTTTATGTATAGATTTTCATATGCATTTTTCGATATGTATTTGTTTTTAAATAAAATCGTAAAGAAAAATCTCTTCAGTTTGGTAATCAATAATTGATACCTCTCCACCCCAATAAAAACAAGTTTTATATGATTTTGTTTGTATTTCGATTTCTGTTTTCATCCTTTTCAGAACTAGCTCAACCTAGTTCCAGAAATCACTTGTACATGAACATTAGTCTACAAAAACGTTAATCATCGATAGTATGATACGATATATGCAGCAGCCAACATATAGTTCATGCCCGTCGCCGAATTTGCCGCCCCTCTAAACAACATTCAAGAACTGGACGCCATCTACAAAATATAACGAAATACAATAGCTATTAAGTTTGTTATGATTTTACACAAGCAATAATAAAATAATCAGATGGAAAACACATTTTATAAATAAATAGAGGTAAAACTTTAGTTATTATATCAACAATATAATAACTATGAAAAATCCTCTAAAAAGAACTGATTCATAGGTTAATCCTCAAAGTAAATGTCCAATTGTTTATCTAAACATAAAGTGCATTTAGGTAAAGAAAAAAAATGAATGAGAGGGAAAATGCAACAAAAATAATTTTGCATGCTATTATAATAATTCACTTCAATGGCGGCCGCCCTGGACCAGCTATACCGCCTATCTTATGGTTGTCAAAGGGATATGTTTATATATCAGCACAATAGTATGTATTTGGGTCTTGGTTATTAATAGAGGTTATTAAATTGACTTTACGACATAGAAAATCATGGTTCTCCACAGATTCATATTCTTTATAATCTGAGAATACGCATGAGTTATGAGGAAGTAAAGGATTGGTGGATACAAAATAAATTCTAATAACTAATACTATTCTTAAAAAAAATACTCATTACAAAAAGGAGCAAATATAATAAAATTTTATAAAATCACTACAAAAATAGTCATTTTATGGTGTTGCATGTATAATAAAGAGTTTTTCTTTATTCTACATTCAACACCATCACTTGATAAGACACCAAAAGTCTTGAAACAAAAGGTTATTTTTGTAGTGATTTTCTAACATGTTTATATCATAATTTCAGAATTATATATATATATATATATATATATATATATATATATATGTATATTTGTGTGGTGGGGGGGTTGAAGTGGGATTGTCAACACAAAATGCATGTATCTATGGACACAAAATGTCTTTTTTAAATAATATTTGCTTATTCAGTTAATTTGTACTTGTTGTTCCTGTTGTTGTTGAACGAAGAATATAATATCATACAAAGTCATACTGAAGGAATTATGGCTAAGAAATATTGTAGCAAGATATTGAAAATAGAAAGATCCTGAGCAGGATTAAACCTTGGGGCTTTTATTCAAAGCTCAATCCCTGACCACTATTAATCAGGATGCAAATCAAAGCAGACATGGTTCCTTAAAATTTTGCATTGGAAGGGAGTTGGGTAAATTACTGACATTTTTTATTCTTAAATCCATTCTTTATCCATGAGACAAATATTATTTTAAATACATGCAGAGTCACAGAAAACACGCGCACGTAAGTACACACACACACACACACACACACACACACACACACACACACACACACACACACACAGACGCCCCCCCCACACACACATCTTGATGGAAATCCCATGCAAAACTCCCACAAATACATTCTACAGCATTCGATAAATATAGTTATTTGTGATAAATCAGTTATTTTTATTATAATTTAATATGTATAAAAATACAATATCCGACAAATTTTCAAAAATCTGGAAAATTTAATTATGAAAATTTTACAATTTTAATCAGTTCAATTGACACGCAGTTGTTTGACGGTCTAATGAGTGTAAATCTCCTAAATGTAAATATTTTGAAAATGAACAGTTTTATTTTTTTTTCAAATCTGCTGTTTTGTGTATATTATCTTTCTACATAATATGTCAAATGCATTTACATACTTTCTAATCTGGCTTATTGAAGGGAGATAACTAGCCTATCTTTCTTTCTGTATCGACGCCAGATGGCACTGCTTTTGCTGTTGTAATGTCGAACTGTTCGAAGCTGATCACAAAGCCGGTGAAAAGACTGACTTTTAATAACTGGAAACAGTTGATAAACTTTCTGATGATAGTTTTTTAAAAAAAGAAATGCCATATAACTTCAGTACGTGAGCAATCGGAGTTCTCTTCAGAATCCATGTCTTAACATCTGTGAATTGCTACTTCTTGGAAAAAAGTGTGGAACGACTTACAGTTACCGTCTCAACGGTTTTTGAGATCGGAGTAGTTCTTCTCCTTGGCTAGCTGTCAGCCAAGGCTTGGTAATCTCATCTAACTGATATTTAATCTGGAAAGTGAAGAGGTGTATTACTGTGAATTTTAAAGCAACAGACTAGGTTAAAACTTGATACAGCATTTCGACTTCCGCTACCGATATCCGTTACCTTGCCTGCACGTAAATTATCAGTTAAAAAAAAAAATTAATACATAATTTCTGACACTGTGTAGAATACATAGAAAAATATATTCTTTAGTAATAAATGTATTTTGCAATATAATAGAAACTATTAAATTTAAAAACCATCAAAGTTGGGATCATCACTCTAAAAAAAAAAAAATAATTGGAAAAAGTTCCTTTCAGTGACAAAATAAATATATATTCTTTTCCTGAAATATTTGCAGGACTAAAAATCAACTACTGAGCATTTTTAACCATTTTCATCATTCAGAAATTAATTAGTAATTAAGTAATAATAGTCAGATATGTCTTATTGAATTCATATCAATTGAAGGAAACTTGTGTTGATAACAGTCGAATTGTACGTTAATGAAACTGTTTTAATTTTATGGAGATAATTTTTTGTTCCTTCATCCAAATACAAGAAAATTAGAACATACTTTTTTTTTAAATAGTTTGACTATTTGTCAGTAGAAATCATTCGAGTAATCTAAAGAAGATGAATTTGATTCATTATTATTCGCGGATTTCACCATGTTGATATTTAGCTATTACTGATGATATTGAACATTGTTGTGATAGTTCTTGCTTGAAATTAATCTCATTTATTTTAGTCAAAATTCTGATCAACTTTTGCCTGTTTTACTTTATGAAGTAGAGAAATTTAAAAACAGATGCTCGTTCCATAAATAGGATTAAATATAAATCGAAGACTGACGTAATTCTTATCAATTCAGTTGATTAAACATGACAAACATATTAGGTTCTTTCTTTCTTTCTTTCTATCTATCTATATATATATATATGTATTTAACATTTTTATTCACGTGTGGAAAATTCTAAAACATATGTGAACCATGTATATATGCATATACACACACACATATATATATATATATATATATATATATATATATATATATATATATATATATAAGATTGATGTAAGTAAAATTTGCTATTTAGCTGATATATATCTATATATATATATATATTTATATATATATATATATATATATATATATATATATATATATATATATTTAATTGATTTAAAATATGTTTTTTCGCTACACAGTTCTAACCATGTTTCAAAAAATGGAAGCTAAAAGCCACGAATTTAATTTTGTGATTAGATTAAAGACATTAGTTCCATTTCATCCTCAAGCGAATTTTGAGGAATTTGAATTTTGAATTTGAATTTTGAATCTACTGTGGAGCGAAAAAAAACATATTTTAAATCAATTAATTTATAATATTAATGCTCTGTAAATTTACATTGAGCACTATTTTGTAAAATAAAATATCTATAAGAACACCGGATTATATATCTTGCTGTTCTTTCTTTTTCATTTATATACATATATATATATATATATATATATATATATATATATATATATATATATATATATATTTGAGGCTGAACAAAAGTAAATACTACATTTAAATAAACATTATATATACACTTTCCTTTATTACAATAAACGTTATATATATATATATATATATATATATATATATATATATATATATATATATTGATGTGAGTAAAATTTGTTACTTAGCTGATATACATATATATAATATATATATATATATAATAGGATTGATGTGAGTAAAGAGAAAGAGATAATGAACAGAAAGAGATAGATAGATAGATAGATAGATAGATAGATAGATAGATAGATAGATAGATAGATACGAACAGGCTGAGATAGATAGATAGATAGATAGATAGATAGATAGATAGATTATATAGATAGATTAGACAAATGATATAGAACAGATTGAAGAAAGGAAGAATAATTTTGTCTTCCGTTTTTCCGTT